ACTATCTTTCCTGTTTCGTCTGCTTTCCATTTGAAAACCCATCTAGCATCTATCACACTACAGCCTATCGGGACTTTTGCTGCTAACGTGAACGTTCCTGCCCTTATCAAGCCTTCAACCTCAGCAGACATGGCTCCCTCCCAAATCTTTGCGTACTTTGAACGCTGGGCTTCCTGATAACTATCAGGTACTGACTCAACATCCTGAACCAGTTCTTTCGGCAATTCCGTCTCATCACCTGCTCTCTGCTCCGACATCAGTGTATACACTAACTCCGTAGCGGAGATGGGTCCTAGGCTGGCCACAAGGCCCGGAACACTCTGCTGGTTGACTGCACGAGTTTGCGCGCGAGTCCNCGGCCTTCCCCGTCATTCACAGGCATTGGAGAAGACACAGAGTCTACACTATCAAAAGAATTGTTCGCGAGGGACGACGGTTCAGCAGGGGAAGATGGAACAGAAAATGATGGGCCTACACTTCCTGCGCCAACACTCTCAACCTCCTCGACTCTCGCACCAGAAGGCACTGCATCACGTTTCAAAAGTGTGTGAGCAACTCCTCTTCCTACAAGCGGCCATACCTCGGTTTCAACATTGTCGTCACTATCCTCCCCTCCCTCCTCTGCGACCTCTATTGGCAGAGAAGGTTGCAGCGGAGGGAGCTGTGACTGCAACACCTCCCACGTCACATCCCTCGTTTCCTGTATAGTCCCAGCCCTCGTAAGTACTCTATGACAATCACGCGGGTGGTCTCTCGAAGGACCGACATAAAAGTAACTCTCACCCTTCGGCAGCAGCTTTGTCGGTCGCTGCCACTTGCAGTACGCTGGCTTCAAAAACGGATACGGTCTAGCGGGACGAGGTTCACCATACCACATTTCATACGGCGACATAGAGTCGGGGTTAGCAGAACACGCGGTGTGATTCATCGCTTCGCAAGCCCAGTGCATAGCCTCAGCCCAGAGTTTATCAGTCTTAGGTAACTGCACATGCCCAAAAAGAACTTTAGCCTGAATACGAGCCGCCATCGCGGCCTCTTCTATCAATCCCAGCCCACGCTCTGCAACACCATTATATTGCGGACTATAAGCCGGTGTGAACTCTTGTTTGATCAAGAGCTCATTGCACACAGATGCAAACTCCCCCCCGAAAAACTCCCCTCCGTTGTCAGATCTAACAATCTCAACGAATGACGGGACACCATTAGCACGCACACTCGCAAGAAAAGTCCGGAATGCACTGCCAGCGTCTGATTTATTTCTCAGGAAATACATCCATGTACGTCTCGTGAAATCATCCTTCACAATCATGGGATAATGTTTACCCCCTACGGACGCAATGTCCTTCCTTCCTCCCAGGTCAACAATAACTCTGCCCAACTTTTTATCCGATCTACGTATAGTTTCTCTAACGATTCCTTTTCGAATAGCCTTTGACATCGAACACCCTGAACAAGCATGCATGTCACCAACCAACTTGGTACCTAGTCGCTTTGCAGTAGTGCGAAGCAAACCCTCGTGCGAATGAGCGTAAATGTTGTGGAACTCGTTGATATCCATCGTGGTTTCATGCTTGGGGTTTGCGGGAGTGAGAGCAGCCAACACCGTGCCAACAGAGGCTTCTCCTAGACGATACGCAGACGCAATCAGCATGCCATCGAAGTTCTGAAAGGTTACTTGTCCATTGAAAGCAGTCATCACACCATCAGGACCACCAAGACCATTCCATGACTCGCCATCAAACTCTGCACTCGGAGAAAAGAGATTATACCCTAAGTTTGGAGAGTACAACACATTCTTCAACTCCACGGAAAATTCACTGTCAGCGGTCACAAACACCAACTCCAGCGTTCCAGAGAATGCTACCTCAGAAGACACGCCACCAATCCCATTCACACTTTTGTGGCAAGGCTTCAAGTCTTTCATGCAAGAGAGGGAATCAGTCATGTGAAAAGCAGTGCCGGTGTCAGCATACCAATCCTCGACATATCTAGACTTGTTGACAGCTTTCAGGATCATATCATCGCTGACAGCCCTCATAACCAAATCATCCCGCGACGTCATTAGACACTTCAGACCGGAAACATCATACATCATGCTGCTCAGCTGGTCAAACGCTGTTAGGATCACTAGTTCGCTGTAGGCAATAAACAAGTCATCGTCATCGCCGTATTTGAGGTACTCTGGGATGTCAGCAACTAGACACATCAGATCGCGAAAGTCAAATTTCTCACCGCTCTCACCCTCGTCGGCCTCGGATTTTCCAGTCTGGGAGGGATGAGGGATGATGCGAGCCTTGCAGTCGATCTTCATGTGACCCTTCTCCCCACACTTGAAACACTTCCCCTGAAATGACTTCTTCTGGGATGAATCAGACTCAGAGTTAGACTTCGGCTTGTTGTGCTGTTTCTTGATGCTACCCTTCTTCCTCTCAGGCCTAGACACCAGAGCAACACTACTCTGCTTCTTGGAACCACCCTGTGCTAGCAAGTCCAGGTAACGCTCACGCACTTTAGTCTCGATGAACGACGGGTCATTCGAACAGAACACCACAAGAGTCTCACGCAAAGTCTTGTACTCGGGCGACAGCCCCTCAAGCATCAGATTGCACACCTCTCTGTCATCCTTCTTTACTTCAAGCATCTGCAGCACACCAAGCGTCTCTCTGATGGATGCAAAGAAGGTTGCGGGATTTTCGTTGGAACGCATGCGCAGTGACTTCAGTTTCTCTTCCTGCACTCGAATCTGGCTTTGGCTCAACGGTAGAAAGTGATCCTTGAGCGCACGGAATGCCTTGAAGGGGGAACCAGCATGTCTAGCCATGTTTTTCAGGCTGTCTTTCTTCAAGCAGTCAAACAGAAACCACCAAGCCATCTCATTCTGACGCAGCACACCCACACTGTATCCCTTCTCTATCCAAGGGGTCAGATCGAAGTTAACGTCAGCAATCGGAATGTCAATCTCAGAGATGAACGGTTCTACCAGATTGTAGTGACGGGCTTTGAGCAGAAAATTCTGCGACCACGAAGGATACGATACATCAGTACCGTTAAATTCAGGAGCCTTGGGAACTTTGAAAGGACCCCCACCCAACTTCTCCCCTGAATTAGAAATGTCAGCCCCAGGAATCAGTGTGTTTCCACTGGCGACACTACCCCACCATTCGCTTGCAGCAGTAGGCGGGGGTGGAACGGAAGACTGGCTACCTAAAGCCCCACTCCCAGTTCCCGGAATGAAAGACTGACTACCGAAAGTCCCACTTCCAATCCCAACCGAACCAAAGTTTACTGCAGTAACAGAGGAACGATTTGCAGCAGATACATGGGGGTTCAAGCCTGAGTCTTCAAGACTGCTACTCCCAACCCGCATGCCGGACACGCCAAAGCCTAGGGTATCGCCTCCCATACTTCCCGCGGTCCTACCAGTGGCACCCGATTGATGCACACTAGACTCTGCTCCGGTGCCTCGCGGAGCAGCACCCGAACCAGAGGACTCCACTCCCTCCCTCTGTTGTGTCTCAACCATCGACGCAAGCACCTGCTGTTGGTTCGTAACTAACGTCAGTAAGTTAGCCATCTGCGTCTCTAAGGAACCCATTCTCTCACCAACACCCTGCGGGTCACCCTGATGGTTTGCCGCAGGGTCACTCCGCTCCTCAGCCATGATGAGGTCGGTTGATCAAGCCGCCCTCACAGTCTCGCGTCGAACACAGTCCAGGGGGACGTACAGCAGTCGACTGATGTCGCTATAGCGTGTTGGTAAATCAGTGGCTTCTGGAGAAGAATATTGTATTAGTGAGACCTAGGTATGGAGAGACAGGTCGGAAAGTGGAGTGAGGACAGGGGGCGAGCGTGATGCTCCCAGCTCCCAACGTCTCCTCCGGATAGATGCACACTCGGAACACAAAGCAATGTACCGAACACGACAATGACCCGTAAGCCCGACCTCCAGCGACAATGCTAGAACGTTCCTACTGGACAAGTGTCCAACGTACCACATACCAACGTACCGACTTACACCTACGGTCCGTTGTACGATCCTTACGTGTGTACAATCTACCGAACTACCACAAAGAGTATTCGCAGAACACTCGGCATGACAACCTACGATCGACAGTTCTGCAATTAAAAATATCCAATCAGATGTTCTACCGCAGCTCAGGCGATATATAAGGCCGCTACCACGAACACACCATGTCACGAGTCGCTAGCACGCAGGGTAGAGGTCTCAAGTGGAAGCAGTAAGTACGTACAGCTCCCGTTCACGGCACGGTTTCTAGCGCGAGAAAGGGGGTTATGGCTCCTGAAAGGTATTCGCTCATGCACGATACACACACACTGACCTCTCTTTGTGCAATCGAACGACTGTACCGAGTGCGATGAGTAGTGAAGATACTCGTACCAGCTGTAGTAGCCGATGTAGCGTCGGAACAAAGGCCTCCTTGTGGATGTTGTGGTCTTATTCTTTTAGTTCAAGCTCAGGATAGTAGCTAGCTTGGTTGTGAGCAGAGGACGGCGAGTCCAGACAGCTCTTGCAGAGGCTTCGCTGAATGTGGCCTACTACCTCTGTGGGGTTGTACTTGCGGAACAATGAATGCCCCGAACCGTAACAGAAAACTGAGAGAAACTTGTTCGTGGGTCTGCGAACATTGGTGTTGGATACATAGAGTTATTAAAAACTCAGATTTGGGGCGGGAGGATTATTTCGGTCCGTTCAGCAATATGCCAAATATATACCTGTGCCCCATATTTACTAGAGTTGGAGGTGGAATAGTTTTTTGTGGTGGTTGCACAAACTTGTACCCGATAACTCGAAGGAGCAGTCGGTGGTGTATCGACCGCAGCGTTTGATAGTGGCCGCTGAAAGGTGACCATGTCATGCAGCCGTACAGCAGAGAGCTGCCGGTAGGTGTCTTTCTTGCGCTTGTACCCGATAACTCGAAGGAGCAGTCGGTGGTGTATCGACCGCAGCGTCTGATAGTGGCCGCTGAGTGATGACCATGTCATGCAGCCGTACAGCAGTGCCTCCATCGCCTCCGCCTGGAGCAGGCGGATCTTGAGTCGGAATGGCGCTTGCGGTCTGTCGAAGAGCGCCCGGCCATATCGCCTGAGGCACGCCCACGCTCCTCTGCTCCTGTAGTTGATCTCCCGGGTGAGGTCGCCATGTTCGTTGACGAGGCCACCGATGTACCGGAACTCGGTTGTCTGGGCGNATGTATCCTCATCCAAGCACACCAGGCTCCGCAGAACAACATCATCCTTGCTGAATCGGATGACAACGACCTCGAGGACCTCGGCGAAGAAGATGTTGGACAGCAGTGGGGATAGCACACATCCTTGTCGCACGCCCTGTGTCACGAAGAACCAGTCCGATAGTTCTCCGTCGTCCATTCGCACCCGGGCCCGCAATCCATCGTGGAATTGGCGGATGACTTCGATCAGCTTCGCGGGAATCCCGGCCCTGGCCAGCACCTTCCATTGCATCTCTCGGTCCACCGAATCATACGCCTTGTTCAAGTCGACGAAGCACATGTAGAGCGGTATTTTCTTTCTCCGCCCCAGCTCCTGGAGGCGGCGCACGACGAACAGCATGTCGACGGTGGATCGCCCGGGTCGAAATCCGCACTGTTCCTCCGGGAGGATGTTGTTGGCTTCGCAGAAGGCGCTTAGACGGTTGGTGATGATCTTGATGGGGACCTTGCCTACGTGAGATAGAAGCGAAATCCCCCTGTAGTTGTTACAGTTGGACCGGTCACCCTTCTTGTACAGCACCTTGACGGTTGCATCCTTCCACTCTCGCGAAATGTCTCCTCCGTTCCACACCTTGACGAGGATGGTATGGAGGTGTGCCAGGACGAAGGGTTCGTCGTCATCGATCTTGAGCAACTCGGCAGGGAGGGAGTCATGGCCGGGTGCCTTCCAGTTCTTGAGGCCTTTCGTTGCCCGTGCCACCTCCTCGAGTTCTGGCACATCTCCCTACCGTTGAGTGTCACGTGTCGCTGGCCGCTGCGTCACTCGTTCGATAATGTCTGGGTTCAGGGTGGGGGATTTGGTGTTGAGTAGGGTGCTGAAGAATCTCGCCCACCGCTGGAGGATGTCGTCCCTGTTCCGGAGCAACACGCCGTTCTCATCCGCGACGAACTGCTGTCCCTCCGCTTGTCTCCCGTTGAGGCCCACTGATCTCTTGAGGTGTTGGTACAGTCCTTGAATGTCGCGATCTTTGTAGATTTCTTCGAGCTCAGTCACATATCCATCCAGGTGAGCATAAATGCCCGGTTCGACTGCTGTAGCCACTCCCTTACACGCTGCTTTAAGAACCCTCCACGTTGCTGAGCTCCGGTTTCCCCTCATCGCCCGGTGCGCTTCTCGCCGTTTGGTAAGGGCCTGTTCCAGTGCTGCTCGCGTCTCTGGGGTCTCACACCACTCCTGCGTGCGGCGTCTCCGCGGTTCCTCCCCCAGGGTCGTACGCGCTGCGTCGAGGAGAGCATTGGTAAAGTCGGTCGCCAATTCCGCGGCGGTGGTTGTTCGCTCGCCCAGCCGTGTGTCGAGGTTGAGGAGGAACCGATAAGTCACCGCACACCGTGCTGCTTCGAACTGCACTTTTCGTCGGTTGAATTGCTTCAGTTTCGGTTTAGTCCGGACTGCACGGTTGTGAGCAAGGCTGCCACCGAGGTTGACGGTGGCTACTACCATATTGTGGTCTGAGTCTGCTTTGACTGGGCGAACCGGCTGGGGGATGACGATCACGTTAGATACTCGGCCGTGATGTGCCTGCCTTGTCAGGATGTAGTCAAGGCGCTTGCAATCGTTTCCCGACACACCGTTGTATGTGTGCCATATTCCGCCCTTGTGTGTCTGGAAGAATGTGTTCGTGAGAGCTAGCCTGTTTTCCGTTGCGAAGTTCAACAGCAGTAACATGCCATTGTCGTTGAGCTCATCACGCCCGTACATTCCTATTACCCTTCNGGGAGAACGTGTTCGTGAAAGTTAGTCCCGGTTTTTTTCACGTTTCCGTGAAAGGAGCAAGCACGAAAAAAAAACTGTGTGCTGTTTTCACGGAAACGCGAAAAAAATCGTCGACATGCCTCCCTGCATTATTTAAAAGGACCGATTCGGAACCTTTTCCGTGACTTTTTCTCCGGATAGGAATGAGCCTTATTAGTCTAGCAAGTACCCCAACAACACTGATAACGAACCAAAACAATGCCAAACATCATGGCTGCTGTTGCTGCTGCTGCTGCTGCTGCTACATGGCCGCTAAACACGCGATAATGAAAGGTTTGAAGTCGACGTTTGTTCCGCACCAGCCTATTCCACCTCTCTCCCGCCTCGCGACACCACCGCCTTCAACTCAAACCGCGCATCGGTTGTCATCCACGAAAGGTCAAACCTGCCCATCCCATACCCCTCCGACTCCTCCTGTTCTTCCGATTCTCTCTCAACAAGCTTCCTCCGCCGAGTCACCGGCCATTCACCCTGGACCTGCGGACTGCGCATTCCTGCGCTTAGCGTTCATTCCAGAGGAGCATGTCTCCTCCCTACACCCGTCGTCTAGCACCCGTTTGACCCCGGTTTTACCCGTCTCCGCTTCATCCCCCTCGTCCACCTTCTCGCCCCCCTCCCCGAACTTCTCGTTGTTATCTCCCGCTGTTGTCGACCCCTCCTTGCTCTCGCCACCAGGGTCCGTCCCTGCTGCCCGTTCTCCCTCCTTTCCCGCAACTCTCAACTCCGGACTGTTGCGGTCGGATTCCGCAGACGTTTCGTCGGGTTTCTCCGATTTCTGTTTGCGGATAGGCATGCTGGAGGGGCCTCGGTCATCACCGCCAGTCCAGTTCGCACGCTTGCGGGGAGGTAGGGCCTTCTTCTCAACCGTTTCAAGGTTGCCCCCGTTTCCCATCGCCCGGACTAGGATGTCGAACACGTGGTTTGTTGCTAGCACCTGACCAAAGAGCACGAACGTGGACAAAGGCGGCGTTTGTCCTCAGGGGACAAAACCTCGACACATTCCCGGGGTTTGCTGTCGTGACGAGCATGGTCCTTAGACGGGAATCGGGGCGCGGTACTTCTGTCCCCTGTCTCCTGCGCTCAGTCTACTCGGATCCTATCGCGTATGGTACGGACCATGACGACAAACGAGTGGCTTTCGGGGGGTCTGTAAACAACGAACAATTATACATCATGGCTGCTGTGGGCAGAAAGAACAAGGAGTCCCCGGACATCCTGAAGCTGTCATCTTCGACTGAGCAACGAGATCCAAACAGCAAAATTTAAATAATATCAGCGAGCGAGAACAAGTATTTCAGCCACATCATTTTCCGTCGAGGAGTGCTTCTTCTTGTACGGTATGAGTGCTTATCTCCCAGGGAAGCAGCGCTTTTGTCAGAGGCGGTCCATTAACCAGGAAGGGGGAGGCAAAACTCCCGAAGCAATGTCAAAGCTGTCACGAGCAAAACTTCCCCCGAACACATACAATTGCCACGGCCACCAGGCACGCCACATTGCTTTTCGGCACGTAGACTGACACGAAAAAAAGATACACGAAACGACGAAAACACCAGGGCAACGCAAATCGTAGTTACAAGGTGGGCGTGCGGACAGCGATGAATACTGCCTGCTGGCAAAACTTCCCTGGCCCACCTTGCTGTGGGCTCCATACAAGTCTTTCTTCTTGAGCGGGAGCCTGCCCGTCACGATCTCTTGTTTCTGTAAATACGAGTCATTCACCGAGAGCGCAAAAACGAGCCAAGCCGAACAGGAATAACATCAGTACGGTTAGGGACCAGAAAAGAACGCGTTTACAACATTCGGAGCTAGTTCGCAGGTCAGGTCATTGCCCCAACACCGTGAGGTATGGATGAGAGTACATCGACAAACATCTCTCGTCAGGACATGTGTCCACGCGTCTCAGCCACGGGCGAGAATCTATAAGCATGTGTTGCCAGGAAACTGGGCAAACAATGCTCGAAATGCGGCGAACGATCCCGCGCAAATAACGGGCATCGGTGGTGCGGTGGACAGCAGCTTCTTAAACACGCGTGCATTGGTAAGTAGCTTGTGTGCTTTACGACGTAGCAGTACTTCGGTGTGTTACGGCAAAAGCATGGCCTGCCGACTTGGCGTGGACGACTTGTGAACTTGGACACGTCCAAACCGTGTGCAACTGACGTGAGCGGAAGTCATACAATGCGTGTGCATCGTGTGTGTGTCGGCGTTGGAAAGGAAGCCGAGTTCTTGAAACATGAACACGACGGCGACGACTTGCAAGTACGCGACCTACATTGCGGGGTTTCTACCTTACCTTGGCTTTCTCGTAGCACAGCCCCTTGTGCGCGTTCCTGTCGACCAGGCCCCCCACGATGTACACCTTGCCCTTTTCTAAATGGGTGATGGTGGCTGGCGAATCGGCGCTAAGGTATATCAGCTCCTCTGCGACGGCGCACATCCCGGGCGATGAAAGGCATCAGCATGCACGCGATTGGAACGGGCTGCGGTGAACTTGGCTAAATCGGCGTGAGGAAAAGGTGTCGAAGTCGTTTTGCCTTCATCTAGTCTACGCGCATGTGCTCTTGTGTCCTACCTTTGTCGAAGATCTCGGTGTAACAGCGCGCGTCAGAGGTCATCCCCAGCCACGTGTCGAAGCCTTGCAGCTTGTTGACCTTCGCGGTCATGACCGGTCCCATCCCGCTCAACGTCACACGACACGGCTGAGCAGCCTTCCGATTCGTGCCGTACGCGTAAAGGACCTGATGATTTCCATCCATCCATCAAACGCGTGAATAAGGCGGTAGAAAAAAAAAAGGAAAGGCTGCCGTCATAATGTCGTGAGCGTCGCCATCCCTATTGTTCCCCCTCCCCCCTAGAGTATGGGTCTTGCGAAAGTATTTATTTGAGTTGAACCATCCTGGCAAGAAGCTGTCGCATATGGGGTAATGTAAAGCTTTGAAGTAATCTACAATGTACTCGGGGAGGGAGTATCCTCGGCGGAGGCCGGAAACAAAATGTCTTGTACATACGCGCGATGTTATCTCTCGACCTCGCCGAACCCGCGATGGACAAGGCTTGTACGTATATACGAGCAAGAGCTGGGACGACAAAAGGGCAGCACGTGGGGATTCCGGCCATGCCGATCCCCCATTGGTAACAACGGGTTGGGAAGATTCCCCGCTAGCGCCGTTCACGCCTCGACGGATGAATCGCCCTTCGAGCGCACGTCCTACGAAAAAGGTCAAAGCCGCGCTACACACTGCTGCCGAGGTACGGCGATGCTGGATGAAAAATCGTCAAGAGCGATGCTGAAACATAAAATAGCGGGTTGTACTCACCGGAAAAAATAATTCCCTCCATGGGGAGAGACAAAAATGAGAGAGGGAATTACTGTTCTCTTTGGCCTTCCGCCGTGGGTTCATAGTTTTGACCATTGTCGGCCGAACTTGGGCCAGAAGGGGGGTTCACACAACGGGGGCGGGGAAACGAAGGGATGTACGGCAGTGCAGACTCACGAAAAGTTGGTCACCTGCTGCACTAAGCTAGCTTGCGCCTTCTCCAGCATGAGGTCGTCGAATGCCATGTCGATGCACACGCGGTAGCCGCCCTCCTTGGATAACGTTTCGAACTCCATCCGCTTGGCGTTTCGAATTCGCTGACTGACGGACCACTGTTCTTGAGGGAGCTCTTTATAGTTCTTTCCCGCCACCGGGATTTCCTGTCCCTCCTTGCGCATCGCTTCCTCCCTTGAACGGCCCAAACACCATAGCCGTACAATCGAGGGCAAGACGGCAATGTCATACCCCAGGTGCACCCTCCCCAAACAACGATGTACAACCTTAAAGAGTTGACGGATGTGCATTTCTACTCCGAAACCGGGAATCGTGTATAGGTACGCATATCATCCCCCCTGTCCCCTGGCTGTTTGTGACCGTCCCTGGTCGGGTGCTGCGGCAGTCTACATGCATCAAAAGACCTCTTGGCGCATCGGTAAGCAGATGTGAAGGTCTTGTTGGTGTGCGCATGTGCGCACGGACGGATTCAGATACCCAACTGAACTTTCAGCTACCCAGTTGCAACCTAGAATGTGGCAAGCAACAGTAGATATTGAGGAACATAGCAGTACCCGGGGGGGCGGTTCGCGGTTTGCCCACGTCGCTTGGGGCTGTGCGTGGTGCACACATCGATACAGCGTGCTCTCTCTCTGGGTGTTCGTCCATCTTGCTGTCATTTCAACACTTCCAAGGCAAGGGTTGAACCTCAGCAAACGGAGAGAGGAAGAGGCAGCGCGTAGTGGACATCCAAACACACCTTTTTTGTATGCCAGAGGCGCAACCCAACTGCTAGGTGTAACTTAAACTATCGCATGGTACTGCTGGAAGGGTGGATTACTACGTGTACACAGCAGCGTTTCCACACAGCGCCTCACCTCCGTTCTCGCTCTTCCCTCTTCTTCTCCTTGATCCGAGTTTTTTTCGCCGCCCATCCCGCCTTCCGTTTCTCCTTCCGACCCTGCCTGATTGATTGCGTTCGAGGCGGCCTTCCATTCCCCACTTCTCCCCCGTTCGTTGCAGCAGCAACAGCAACAACAGCAGCAGCCCCATCACCGGCGCCCAAGGCGGCACCTGTTGTGGCTGTACTCGGCGTAACATCGTTGGCGGTATTGGTGGTGCTGCCATCGTTTAGCTCCCCATCATTGCCGCTCACGCTACCGCTCCCACGTTGTTGGACTTCTACTGCTGCCGTAGGCATCTCCCGAGTGGCCGGGGTGTTGTCGCAGGCTAGCGACGGCTCGGAGGTCGGTGCTTCGTCTGCCATGTGTCGCTCACTCTCACGCTAGCAAAGCACTCCGATTGGGGTTGCTGAGGCACTCTCCAGACCTTCCCTCCGCTTGGGCGAGAAACCGTTGAGGAACCCCACGAACACGAGATATCCGGGTAACCGCAAAGCACGTTCTGGCGGGCGTCCGGTCAACAACAATGACTCACGCAGAAGCGTCTACAGCAGTAAGCATCTACGCATCGAGCACCGAGCATTATCTACTGCTGTACACAGCATATCTCGGTCGAAGGCGCCGGGTTCTCGATGCGAACCTGTTTCGCAACGTATTGGACCAATCAGCGTTACTCCAAAAGACGCTTTGCTCGGGATCGAGCCACCCTTGCCCCACCAACATCGCCCCACCGTACAACCACGCACCCCGCCCCTTGGTGCTGCTGCTAGCCACCATGTTTAGATCCCGCATGGAACATGGGGGTTGGACTTCCGAAGATTGGAGAACAAAGCAAGCAAAGGTGATTGGTAGTGTGGTCAGTTGAATTAAAGGGGCAACGCTCCCTCTCGGTTCAGCAGCCACAAAACAAGCTCGCACCCGCACACACGCACACACGCGGCAATGGGACCATGTCCCGTAGGCACCTGTGACGAGCAGAACCCCTTCCGCGTACTGCTGTTTTGCAGTTTTTGGGGTAGGCAGGCCATGGTGCCGCTGCGACAAGGACTGCATGTTGTGTCTGCCCCTCGACATACCGCATCGCCAGTATACCCCCCCTGCACTCGCCCGTAGTCTCATGCTGTCAGCCGTCGACTGCGGTACTGCTGTAGCTGACCTGCTGTACGTGGGTCGGTGAAGGAAATGGACGGACGCTCGAGTGCCAACCTTGGGTAGGCAGTGCCGCTTTCCTTGTTTGCTGCTATGCAGGTTTCGTGCCACTGAAGCATTTGCTTGGCGACCACATTGCAATTTGCTCTTTTAACCGCTCGCGCTTGGAACGAATCTCTTGCAGCAGCATACGTTACGTATGCACCGATGCAACACCACATGTTCAAACCGCGTCAACCGTCAATATCAGGCATTTCAACACGCCTCTGTCGCGAGAGACAAAGGAGTTACCCCATTTCACTCCGAGGGCAGCGGTACTGCTGTATGAAAATTGTGTGATTCATGACACGCAGGGTACCATTTTTGGAGTGGTCAAAGATGAAATTCGTCCTAAGGATTGTCCACCAAGATATTGATGTGATCCATGTGTTCGGATGCCACCTTGGCGCAAGCGCGAATCGGTTTTTCGCCTGTCCGTCGGGTGACATGTGATCCTTTTCTCAAGAACCGAAAAGGCCCAAGTACCACCTTCATGTTATCGACACGCGCTGCCTGACGCAGCCGAGTCAAACGCCTGACCACCGCGTTTCTCTGTTCGCGTAACCCCTAACCGCCCAACAAAAACTCCTACATCCCCAGCATCGAGCCTACAACGCCTCACGTAAAAGCGCGGTGGCATCAGTCCTACACCGGAGGGCAATGGCCTCCAACGCGTCGGCTCACGGGCTGCCCGCCCCTTTCGAGCTGCGAGGAGTGGTGCGGCGAACCATCACCGGCGGCCTTGGTGGCACCACCGGCCACCACGCCTTGCCGCTTCACCATGGCAACATGCCCTTACCGTCGAACGTAGCCTGCGGAAACAGGGCGGCCATGGGTGCAACTCAGGTATGTATGCATGTCCGGACGCCGAAAAAAGACAGCGTGAGTCCGAACGGGCTGCTGTAGAGGCCAAACCGAAGAGGCGAGACTTCTCGATCATTTTGGTCCCTTGCGTTTTGGCGGCGGAAATGCTTTGAGGGAACCCTGGCGTCCCTTGCGTGAAAGGCCGAACACACCGGAAACCCTTTGGTTTCAGAAACAGCAGTGGCAGTGGCTATTGATTTTCCCGCGGCAGGCTGCACCAGGAACAGCGCACCGGTTAGCGGAGGCCAGGCGTTGGACGTATTAATACAAAGCTCAGTATTCTGTACCAGGGTTTTTTCACGTTGAAGGCGTACATCGGAGGGAAAATCGGGGAACGGCAGGAGACAACAGTAGAGGAGGGACGACTCACTTGAACTGGGGTTTGGTATCATACCGCCGTGATTGGCGCGTCCATTGTAGACCTAAACGCGTACCGCCTGGTGCATCTTGTTTTTGTCTCAATCTCCATACGTTCTTGTCCCGCGCCTCATGTTTCTCTCGGCTGCCTTTCTAGCGATTATTGCGTTACCGCACTCGAATGACATGACCAACAGATGGCAGATGGAAGATAAGCTGTCATCTTGTTGCCATCGTTTGTCGATGGGTGATGTGTTTAAGACCGTCAATATGTCCGGGTATCAAATACGAAAGTGCGCGTCAATCTCGCGGAGTAACTCCGGGATGCTAGGGCTTGGCGTGGTCCGGGTATCATCGACAGATACCGCTTAGAGATCCTGGCACACCGTTCAAAGTGCCCGGCACACATCGGGTGTGTTACCACCAACCGGTTGCGTGTATTTCACACTGATTGGTACCTCGGCACTTCCTCTCTTCCGTCCTACTTCGCTTCTCTCGCTTGCCCCCTCCCCTGCCCCGCCCAGGGTTTCGAAAGCAGCGGCATTCGGCGCCGCGGTGCCACCGGGGGAGCAGGAGAATCGGGGTCAATCGGAGGCGGGAGCGGGGTGGACAGCTCGCTCAGGATGGAAAAACCGGACGGGAAGCCTCAGTCGACTTTCTGGAGGCTGTGGTCGGAGGCCAAACACGAGAGGGGACACCTCGCGGCGGCGGGAGTGTGCTTAATGGCATCGTCTAGCGCCAACCTAATGGCTCCTGCCATCATGGCCAAGTGCGTATTTTTGTTGCCGCGTCACACACCCGCACTCTTGCAACCAGGACTCTCCTTGACCCCGCACTTTTCTCGATTCTTGTAATCGTGCGCTTTCTGCGAGTGCCAGAAGCCACACTTCATATGTTGCACCAGTTCGTCTTTGGGAAGGAGGCTGCAGATGTCACCTGTGTCGTGATCATAGAGCCCCTCATACGTTTATAGGCATGTATCGGGGAGCATGACATGGCGGATGCACACTCTGCGGTGAAAACACTCTGGCCAAAGAAGTAGGGGAACAAATATGGTCATTGGTACTACCGCGAGGTAATTGTGTGGGTTGGTGATCCTTGATTCCGTGTTGTTTGCTGTTCATGTTTGGCCTCGCGTACCGAGTGGGAGCGATTCGACCAACCTGTCTGCCCCCATGATCAGGCATGGCACCGCCAACGCCGCACTGTGTCGGGCCTTGTGTCTACTCACGTACACATAGTGATTGTTCAAGTTTCGGGCAGTTGATTGCGCCCACGGAAGGCGTGCGCGTCAGTTGGACGAGTGCGACAAGTGTTGGACAGATATAGTGTTGGGCAGAGATGGACTAGTGTTGGGCAGAGATAGAAAACATCTTTCTTTTTCGTCGACACAAAGGCAACGGCAAGAGCTTGGCGAAACTTGGGTGGTGTCGTTGCTTTGACCAATCACGTGCCGCATCGTGGGCCAGCATCTACTGTGGCACGCTTTTGTGGAGAGCGACTCACTACCTCCTGTACACCGCAAGGAGTTCCTGATTCCCTCCAAGGCTCTGCAAGCATGCAAGCGCCTCTGGTCTTCATGTTTGGTGCTCCGTGAAACCCTAACGCCGCTAACGTCACCCCCCTTCAATCGCTCCTTCATGGTCATGTTGTACCTGTCTCTGCCTCGCGTGTATGCTGCCACCCCGCACCCGCAAAATAAAAAAGAGTCATCGACCGCGCTTCCAAGCGAGGCCGAGGGTCGGGGCCCTCGAGCTCCCTAGAGATGTGCATCGCAGGCCGACCGGTGTCCGACCGCACCTTCTTCCTGGCGTGCCTCGGGGTCTTTGCTGTCGGTTCTCTGGCGTCATGGGGCAGGGTTTACGCCCTCGCGATGGCCACCGCCGGGGTGGCGGAGAAGCTGCGCGCCAGGCTGTTCGCGGCCCTGATGGTGCAGGAGAAGGCGTTCTTCGACGAGAAGAAGGCGGGGGAACTGGCGCCCATTCTGGCCGAGGTGCGTCCGGGCGCGTTGGCCGGCGACGCTGGAAGGGACTGTTGGTGGCTTGAAGCCGTGTGGAGGTTATTTGGCGGTCGTAGAAGCTTTGTGGGTGTGTAGGCCAATTCTTCCGGGATGATGGAATCGGAGTGCTTTTCCCGGTCGGGTGCAAAGTTCGCGTGAAAGACTTTGTTGTAGGTTGGCATGAGATTGCACACCTCCTGGACCGATTTTGGCGTCCCGAGTACTCACGAAGAGGATGCCTTAGTCCAATGGTACGCTTTCGGAAACTCTCGACGAGACGGTTCCAACGCCGCTCTCTTCGGCACTGTCGTTGTTTACGCTGAGTAATCCAGGTTTGAGAATCGGTCAAAGGGGTGGAGTATCGTAGCCCTTGGAGGGAGGAGGGCATTCGCCTGAGCTGCTACTAGCGAAACGTTTCTAGCAGGCGAAAGTATCCGTCAGGAAAACAGACCAACATGCGTTGTGGACGGTGGTGCGTGCTTGTCGTGGTTGAGATATTCGATGGTTGTTTTGATACATCTCTCTACCTGCTGTTCTACGTGCCTTCCTGCCTGCTACTGTCAGGACGTGGACGTGTCTTCCACGGTGTTTACGGAGAGAATGGCATCGGTACTTCGGTCCCTCAACTCTTCCATCAACGCCTCGATGGCTCTCCTATCGATCTCTCCCCACCTCACCATGGTCTCGCTGTCGACGGTGAGTGGACACGTCGTTCTGGCTTCGGGATTTGCTCCATCGCTTCCCATCTCACGGATGGTGAACATGTCGTATTATCGCTGCGCGTCGTGGGCTGAGTGCAGCTGCTGCTTGTTCTGCGCGTTTAGTCCTTCCGTCGCGTTTCTTATGCCTCTAGTCCTCGGTGTAGAGATTCATGTCCTCCCCGTTTTTTTCTTGGCAACCACGTGCCTTCACGTCAATGTTTGCGCCATACATCACGGTACTTGATGGTACAGCGGTGAGTTGGGGGTTGCTGCCGTCGGGCTGAGAGTAGAAGGTCGGAGCGATTTTCTTTCGTCGGTGCAATAACTCTTCTCGGTCTTACGACGGTGCGTAGTGCTAAAAGAGACAGACGAAGTTGCACCTGTATGGATCGAAACGCTTCGCTCTTGTTGCCGATATTCCTGCCTGCCTCTGGAGGAAGAGCAGAACACGTGCAACAGAGAAGACGCTCTAGCTCGCAGCAGAACGTATGTCTGCCTTAACATGTCTGGTTCGTATTCCACCCGGTGTTTGCTTGACACCCCAGGTACCGATGGTGGGATCCGTGGCCATGCTCTACTACAAGCACGTGCGCAAGTTGAGCATGAGGCTGCGCGATATGGACAGCGAGGCGCAAGCGTTCGCACAGGCTCGCCTAGCCAACGTGCGGACGGTGCGCGCCTTTGCGAATGAGACTCTCGAGGCGCAACGGTTTCGACAGGTATACCGTACGGGACCCTCAATACCCTGCAGCGCCGCCCTAGTGGAGCAAGCAGTATGATGCCATTCGAATGACATCTTGCGCTAATGATGACATGTGGTCAGAGCAAAGTGAGAATTAAAGGCGTTCTGAGCAATGCGTGAAATCTAGTTCTGGTCTGACGGTTTCAGATAAGCATGTTTCAGGAGGGAGGGACACCATGTCTAAACCTGGGCCTCTGTGGGGATACCACGACATAGCCTACACGCACGCCAACGCAGTATTTCTAACCTGACCCCGATGTTGTCCCTACTCTGAAGTATCACCCTAAAATGTCGGAGAAGGCGCCAGAGGTTGGTGGAATGGTCACGACACATCTCGTGCAAGCTATTCTTCAAGTCCTAACGCCAACCTTTGACCGACTACCGGAGCCATTTGCATACTGGACCCGAGCCTTGTCCACACCACCCTATGTACTCCAACCCTGAATCCTCTTCCAAATTATTTTTCGAACTCCCCTTGAAGATGCTGGAGCAAGCGTCGGAGTTGAGGGCTGAAGAGGCAGGCGCCAAGGGAGTTTTTCGAGGAGGTCTCTTTGGCATGGTGGGGGTTTCACTGATGGCCGTTTTATGGGTAGGGGGGTCCCACGTGGGCGATGGAAGCATGACGGTGAGAATCGTTTGCTGCATGAAAGCTCTCGCGTCCTTTCGTTGTCACTGCACCCTCACGACATGTGGTGCATTTTTGCGTGCTGCCCTGCAAATTTTTGTGGGCGCTGATCAGCAACTATCAACCCAGGAGGGATGAAAGGCGTTAGCATTTGCTTCGTTGTTGGAGATGTGCTTCTGATTCACCGCAAATTGTGGTATTTAGTCGTGATGTCACAGTTTCGGGTTAGGTTGCTTTGAAAATGGATGACTTCCAACCGCTTGTGGTGTGCCAGACCGTACGGAACCGATTACATTTTCTCACGCTCGAGGGAAAGTGTGGTCTTGCCTCTACAATGGGTTTTCACCCAGACGCAACACGAGAAACGTCCGACCATTCTCGTCTCTGACCTGGAGGCATCAACTCAAAGAATTGTTCTGTGCCTCCACCCTTTCAACTCAAGTGGGAAGAAGGAATAGCTTCTCGCGATGAGTACCAACCAGTTCCCCGCCGCCGCGATCATGCCTCTAAGATTGTTAACCGGATATCGAGCTTCCAACAGACGTCTTGTTAGCATTTCCTCGGCGCGTCCGTGCAAGCATGTTTATTTTGCTGTGCTTGCGGCATTGCCAAGCAGCGAGCTTCAGCCGACCCGTTCAACGAAGTTCTCTGCTGCCATCTTGGCGTGCCTCATGGGTTCCGTAGGCCGGACCCCCCCCACCCCCGATAGAGCGAGGGCATCGTTGGGCTGCGTGCGAACCATCTGGCGATGTAAATAGGCTACCTCAGCGCTCCAGCCGCATGATGTTTGTCTGGTCGCAACGTCCGCACAGGCGGGGCAGCTGACATCGTTTGCCGGCTACACGGGTTGGGTTGGGCTGGGGTTCTCGGGGCTGGCCACTGGTAACGCCAACATCGCGAGGTCAGGGGTACGGGCCGGGCGGGCAGGGGGGTTCTGAGTGCCATACGTCCTAGCATTGTTAAGCATGTTAATGGGTCGCAGTGTTTCCTTCCTATGATAATTGCTAGTTTGCCGCACCAATGCAGCAAGGCGTACCTAGTATTTTGTAGCTAACACAAGTCGCTTTGTGTGGTGATTCTTGGCACTCTTGCGCATTTATTCTGAACGTTGTCCTTCGTTCACCCTTATTCTTCGCTTGTCGTAGGCACACTGTTTATAGTTGCATGGCACCGCGAATGCCCTCGCTTGTTACTGACTATAGTGCATCACCCCATTTTGATCATGAAGTTGAACTGTTTGTTCTTAAGCCTATGACCCTTCTGTTGTTGGCCGTTTACCTGGACGATAGACCGAGATCTTTCCTGCTTCATTACTTCCGCCTCCTGCCTCTTTCCGTTTGTCTGCTCGTACTTGCCAGACCGACGATTCCTTTAGGTGGTTAACCTAATCGAATGTTTGAATCTTCGCGTCCTGGTCCCAAGTTTCCCCTGTTTTTCATTCTTCGGGTCCAACGTGCTTCGCGTGTGTGTTCCTGCGTTGCTGAAGGGGCCTCGCATCAGCAGAGCGGGTGTTCGCCCTAATGGACAGAACTCCGGCAGTGTCAGGAGACGAGGGGCTTGAACCCTCGACGGACGTTGTCGGGAACTTGGAATTCAGAGACGTCTGGTTCCAATACCCTACTCGGGATAAGGCGAGTCGATCAGTTGTTCGTTGGAAGCACTGGCCCTTCGATCATAAGACTTTATTTCTCTCCCGAGCAGCTTCGAGTGTCTGATCGAGTAGGAAAGGTTGTGTGTTGTAGAGATCGAGCTGGCTTGATACTCTGTGCTTTGGTGATTTTGCAAGGACAAATGTTGCGGAACCCTGGTCCGGTAGAGCTGGTGCTCCCGTAGTCAAGGGAATAGACACAGTGAATGCCGCGATGACATTATTCACATCCATCGCTAGAGCCGGCTTTGTTTGAGTGCAATGTCGGTTGTCGTTGTTTACGTTGTTGTTGGCCTGCGGCAATGGAAGCCGTCACCTCTGCCTCGTGGATCAGCACGGAATACTGTTAATGGGTACTTTGTGGTAATCGGCCGTTTGTCCCCTACAATATCAACATGTTCAGCGGACAGAGTGTTTGAGGTCCCTATGGAGAGCTCTGGCTTTTTTGTTTTTTGTGAGAGACATAGCTACGTTGACGCGTGCGAAGTGCTTCTCTTCCGACCAAAACCGGCGTTTCGATCACACCCACCAGGCTGTCCTGCAAGGGGTTAACCTACAGCTGAGCCCCGGCAAGGTGCTGGCGTTGACGGGCGCAAGTGGCGAAGGAAAGAGCACCTTGGCCGCCCTCATCACACGGCTGTACGAACCGCGGCAAGGCTGCATCACCCTGGACGGTGTCGATATCGCCACTCTCAACCCGTCATGGCTCCGAAGACAGGTCAGCATCACAACAGCAGGGTCAAGCTGCTGTGTGTCGAAACCTGTTGCGACGATGCTCGCTCATGTGTTTTATTGGTTGCCTGTGTTCTATTCGTACCAGTTGGTTTCTTGTGGTCGCTACCGCTGCGTCTCAATAGCCCATGTCCCTTGCCCTTTCAATGTAATGACATCCCTCCGAAAGATCGGGGTCGTGGACCAAGAGCCGGTGCTTTTCGCTGGAAGCATCTCGTACAACATTCGCTACGGCGTGCCGTCGGCTACAGACAAGCAAGTCGAAGCAGCGGCAAAGCAGGTGCGTGTAGAAATATCGCCCCCGTTATGGTTTTGCACATTTGTTTTGGGCCAAATCTGCCATTGAACCTCCTGAAACGCCTTGGGGAGCGTGTTGAAGATTCGACATTCTTAGGTGCACCGAGGAGTACCATGGGTGTTTCGGCATGATTCTGTGGTTATATGTTCCCAAAAAGATGCTGTCAAATGATGCGAGGGGTGCAGCGGCAGGGGTTAAGATTGCTGAAGGTGTCGAAGCTATCATGAAACCCGCACAGAGATCTGACGAATGTTTGTAGGTCTCGCATGACCGATCGTACCTTACCATTCGTTTCTTTCGTTCATCAAGGATGAGTGCATCAGGTAGGAGCCCTGCGCTGAGCTGTTGACATGGGTGTCAGCACTACACTCTCTCTGACGATATTCGCGCATGGTGTTTGCGTGCATATCATTAAAACTCACCGTTACACCAGGCGAACGCCCACGATTTCATCATGGACTTCCCCGAAGCCTACGAAACCAAAGTCGGGGACGAAGGGCGTCAACTCAGTGGTGGACAGAAGCAGGTGACACCTTTCGTGCTGATGCTTCAACATCAGACATGTTAGGAATGGCCTTCGGTCAACGTCTCGCGGTCCGTTGACCTGCACGTGACCTCTGTTGTCTGCCAGGGCGGCGTTCGTCACGACCAGGCGAAGGTTCATACTGCTCGAAACGCGTATGTGTTTCGTCCCATTTTGCGATAGTTCTGACGTGAATCAACGTGCAGCGTGCATTTGTCGGCAAGCCGCGTGCACAACGCCCATCGGCACGTGTCTAATGGCCAGCACCTCGCATCCTGTCGACTATATTCAGGGCCTCGGAAAGGCGCTCGGGCTTTGGCAATATTTATTTTTTAATTCGTTTTCTTTACGGTCCCATGCTGCCTCCATACCTACGTTCAGCGCGTCGCGATAGCCCGCGCTGTGCTGAAGAACCCGCCAATCTTGATCTTGGACGAGGCAACTTCGGCGCTTGATGCCGAATCAGAGCGCCTGGTGTCCGAGGCCATAGACAGGGTGGTAGCCTCCCGCACGGTGCTCGTCATAGCGCACCGCCAGTCGACGGTTAAAAAAGTGAGGGCACTTCTGCAATTCGTACAATGTCAGGTCATTATCGACGGAGGCTACAACCTTTTTTGGCAGTGTCGTGGCTTGGTTTCGAAACTTTGCAAAACGTTCAAGAAATACGCGCTATTTCGCGGTGTTGAAGCACCTCACGCAACCACACGACAGTTTTGTCTCACTAATATTTCCGAGGCTGTCCCCAATGTAGAGTCGCCGAGCATACTTATCGTTTAGAACTGTCGAAGAGAGTTGCAAAATGACCAAGGGATGGGGTGGTTGATGTCGGGGCAACCCCCTGACGGAGTTGCACGATATGTTATGCATGGTGGTAGATGTTGACCGCGGTTGTTGGGCTGGCCATGTAAGGCAGCCCGAACGTTTGCAACTCCCGTGGTCTCGATGCCAATTGCGTCGCTTACCTGACCCTGACGCCTTTCTCTGTGAAACATGTCCTTTCCTGCGATCGATTCAGGCGGACAGCGTGGCTGTTCTTCAGGGTGGAACTGTGGCTGAACAGGGCACATTCGGTAATCTCATGGCCAAGTCGGGCGGTCAGCTGGCCAGCCTTATGGACGGAAGCCGTACAGTTTAGCTCAGCTCTCTAGGGATGTTCAAGAGACACCGTGTGGAGCAGCAATGTTTATTTATCAAACTTCATGTACAGCCAGCCAGCGTTGACGACGTGAAGAGGACGTGATGAAGGAATCACATCAACACAATGATCCAGTGTGGTCTACATGAACACAGCCTAGACGGACAGTTGCGATGAGGCGGGGCGCACGTCTGTGCAAGGGAAGAAGCGGAACCGCCAACTTGGGGGGTTGAACGGTGTGGACGTCTGCCATCAAGAACATTCCCCCGGGGACAATCCGGACGTTGAAAGCATGAACACGCCTGCCGCATAGATGTGCGTGGCGTGCGGGGAGGCGCAACTGCTGTGATTCGATGCCACATTGGCCCAGTGCCGCGGGTGCCGACATGCATAGCGTTTGCCTCGTCTTTCGCGGTGTGTCACGTATGGACGTGCATCGCTGGGTGGCCTCCACTTCTTGCCCGAGCTGTGGAACGAAAGAACGTAGTGTTACGGGTCAGCAAGATTGACTTTCTCGGTCTCTAATGTGCTGGCGCCACTCGCACTCTGCCTCGCATAGGACTTGTCGATTCTTGCCAGTAGCGTGAAGTCATTTGGGTTGCAACAAGCTTAACCACCCGTTTCACAAGGCAGGAAGCAGGCAGGGTAGCAGCTCCCTGGCAATCCAATAACCACCTTCCTCGGATTCCCCCAAAATTTTCTCGGAAGACCTGTCGATGTTTTTGTTGCTACAGAGTGTGAGTTGTCCCGCATGCCTTACGCTTGGACGCGTAACACACAGCAGAAGAATGACCACGCGGGCTGTATTGCTGCTTGTCGGGAATTCAAATGGAGTGCAGTGCACACGTGACACGATTTATCATGGAACTCGGGGATGATCCCCGCCCTTCCAAAATGAACGGACAAAAAGCCCGTCCTGCAATGAACAGCAAGCTCTCCAGCAAGTAGTGCGCTACAGCCACCTTTGCTGAGCTTGCTGTGACATGCAATAACTCGTCTTGCAGCGAACGGAGAGGGCGATCCCCGCGTCGACCGAACGCGTAAACGACAGACATCTACGACTACAGTCGACCCCGCTTCAAGGACGCTCGCGTTAGGGAAACTCCCCGCGTAAAGAAAATTTTAACGGGGTATCCCATTTTTTCTGCCGCGTACCCCCCTTTTCATGTGTCGTGCGGGCCTTCGCGGGCCGCTCTTTGCATGAACCACGCACCACAGTGAGTGCAGAAGTAGCGACGCACAGACAGCAGAAGTAGCGAGCGGTCTGCTGCTGCAGCTGCAACTGGGTCTTGGTATGGGTAGATTCCTCCCATCTACCGGCGGTCCATCTGATGCCGCCAAAAAAAGAGTCGTACATAACCTCGTTCCTCACCGAGGGCGAGGTTACCTCTCGCTTGTTGTTGTTGTTGTTGTTGTTGTTGTTGTTGTCTTCACACCAAAAACCGTTCCGATCTCTCTCTACCCAGTACCTTCGTATGTCCGTACTGATCCAATACTCGACGCGGTCGATTCCCGTGGTCGCAGGCTAACTTCCCCAAAAAAGGTACACTCAAATAAAATGGCCCCGAGGGTCAAACGAAATCAACGACAGATATTCTGGAGTCCTCCACTCCCTCTGCGCGCTATGCGAGGTAACAACTGAGATTAGGAGTCACCATCACGGGCCGGAGAGAATGAGGTACACCCCCTTGGTGCAATCTTGGTACTTCAGAACGCAAGCAGAGACAAGGCCATCTGGCACAGAAAAAGAGAGAAAAAGCGNCCCCAAAAAAGGTACACTCAAATAAAATGGCCCCGAGGGTCAAACGAAATCAACGACAGATATTCTGGAGTCCTCCACTCCCTCTGCGCGCTATGCGAGGTAACAACTGAGATTAGGAGTCACCATCACGGGCCGGAGAGAATGAGGTACACCCCCTTGGTGCAATCTTGGTACTTCAGAACGCAAGCAGAGACAAGGCCATCTGGCACAGAAAAAGAGAGAAAAAGCGAAAAAAAAAAAGAGAAGAAAAGAAAAGGAAACAGTGAGGAAAGAGAAAATGAAATAAAACGGACCAGGATAACAAGCAATAAGAGACAGACGAAGGCACACGGTGGAGAGACCATCAACGACAAGCAAACACGCAAACATGGCCACGAACCAGCGATACATTATAATGGTACGTCATCACTAGTCGGGGGTTGGTGCAATGGTGCAGCGTTGGGGGGGG